TCTTTTCCTTTTCCTTTTCCTTTTCCTTTTCCTTTTCCTTTTCCTTTTCCTTTTCCTTCCTTCCTTCCTTCCTTCTGTCCAGTTCTTCTCATCTTTTCCATCTTTTATTCTTTATTTTTGTTTCTTACTGTTTTTTATTTTACTTGTGAGCTGCTCATAGTGGTTGGGAGTTGGGTGGCATACAAATGTAATAAATAAAAGTTTTTAAAAATGGATCATAGCAGTATTTTAGGATATCAGGTTTTTAGATCCTTGATAGGAGTACTTATGCTAATTGTTCATATCTCTTAACTGCTAAATTAGTGTATTAATGACCGTGTTTCCTCCCCCACTCCAGGAGTGTTTCTACATGTCTTGGCAGATACCCTTGGGAGTGTTGGAGTCATCATATCAACAATTCTTATTCAACAATTTGGATGGCTGATAGCTGATCCACTCTGCTCTCTATTTATTGCCACACTGATTTTTCTCAGTGTTATACCTCTAATAAAAGATGCATGCCAAGTACTCTTGTTGAGACTGCCTCCAGAACATGAAAAAGATCTGCATATGGCTTTAGAAAAGGTTAGAAGTAACATTGCCTATAACTGTATAGAAATGAAGTTTTGGAGAAACATAATACTGGACAGTGTTATAGGATATTTATTACTGATTATCCTATGTTTTTTACAGATCCAGAACATAGATGGTGTCATCTCCTACAGAGAACCTCATTTCTGGTGTCACTCTGCTAATGTTGTGGCAGGCACCTTACATGTGCAAGTAATGTCAGAAGTGATGGAACAAAGAATTATACAGCAGGTAGCTTAGTATATTCATACTGCATGAATCCCCAGATCTCACGCTAATGACTTTCTCTACATTAGTTAAATGTCAGTAGGCAGTAGTACAGCCAAATGGTACATATAATAAGCTAAAAACTCCTCTGTGATTATGGCTTCTGAAAGTTGCTCATTGTCTTCAGATAGTAGAATGTTTAAACTGTATTGTTTCAACTGGAGGGTAATTTTAACACGCCTTGGATGTAACTTCCCTCTGCGTACGCTGAAGGCAATCTTGGAGTGGGGATTGCTCATTTTCAGATTTTTTTCCAAGCCTCCAGAAGCTTCCAATAGGTGTAGCAGTGATGAGGTGATGCTACTAGAGGAGGCAAGGATGGAATTGTGGAACATTTTCCCATTTTTTTTTGCATTTTTTAAAAATAGGTATAACATATCTATCATTTGCCTAGCACATTTATTTTTCTATTCCTTCTTTCCCCCTAAAAAATTATGCTGAGGTTTAGCAGTACAACCTTGCAGAGTTTCAGAAGTTCCATAAATGGGGCTGGGAACTGCATACACACAGTTACCATAGATTGCTTAGCTGTATGAGACTGACTCAGAATGCCCTTCTAGTTACACTATCATACAGGTGTCAAGTAATGTTCCTGTTATGGAAGTATTTCATGACACAATTGCCAAAGTCTGTGCCTAGAAACATCATAACATCTTGATTCATTTCCTCTTTCAGGATTAAATCTAGAAGGAATGAGGAAATTAAATTCATTCCCCTTGTTTTTTTCAGTATTGCTTGAAATTACATTAATACCACCCTTAATTTTGAGAAAACAGACACCTATGCAGTGCCTTGGACACAATGTACTTTCACTGTGAGCTCTGTGCATATTATACCAATAGAAAAAGTAGGATCCCAGGTTAGACTTCCTGAGACAGCAAGTCCTTGCTCTGCTGCCTGGAAGGAAGCTTTTAAAGAAAGTGTGTATTTCACATGCAGCTCTTGCCTTACAACAGTTGTCTTGCTTAGAGTTTCAGAGAGAGTTTTGCTGAAGATTTAATGTTTGTGTTTTAATGTTCATTTTTGTTTAGGTATCAGCAGTTCTCAAAGATGCTGGCATTAACAATTTGACTATCCAGGTGGAAAAAGAAGCTTATTTTCAGCATATGTCTGGCCTAAGTACAGGGTTTCATGATGTCCTTGTGATGACAAAACAAATGGAATCCATGAAATACTACAAAGATGGAACTTACATCATGTAATTTGGAGTTAACATCTGTTGAATTCGCTGTCTCCATTATTTCATCAGGAGACTTTGTACATAACTGTACAGGAACAAATATATATATGAATTTTTAGACAAACTGTTATATACCTTTAAAACCAGATCAGGAAGTTTAAAACATGTGGGACACCTAGAACATATGCTGTATATGTGGAAATAATGGCAATGTAAAATACTGTATTTGGTGTCTTATTAAACAGATTTTGCTACATGAATGTGGATGAGCACAGATATATTATACATTCTCCCCAAAGAGGAATAATGAACACTTCTCTTCCATTGCAACCTAAAATTGTTTTCCTTAGCTTTGAAACAGAAGCTAGCAGACTCCAAAAAAAAAATTACATCTTCAAAATTATTTTGAAGTTTTGCTGCTATATGTGTATTTACACACTGAGTGCAAGTATTTTTCAGAACATTAGATACAAATGGATATGTACATTTTTATATTACTTCCATTTCTGTATACAATCCTATTTTCTAAGCACAGCTTTTTTAAATGGAGGGAAATAGATTCTGCTATAAAAATATTGTCAGGTGAATTAAAAATTTTTAGAAGGAAAGAAAACCCTGGTAACAACAAATCAGGGAGGGAAAAGCTACATTTTTGTTTTTACACTTCTGTGTTCTTTAGTTTGAACCGCTATGTAAAATAAATACTTTATAATTTTTATAAGTATCTAGTGAAATTATTGCATAAACTACAGTCTTAAAATTAGAAAAATTCAGTGACAATTTATTTTTCTGCCATGAGTCATTTCTCCCTGATTAATCAAGATTGAAAATGATATCGTGAGTGCCATTTTCTACAGAATTCTAAGGAGCTATGAAGGGCCCCTAACAGGACATAGAATAAATATTCAGAAGAGTTGAATGCCTGCTATGGTAACCCATATTAAGAGAGGAAGCAGAATAGGTGATGGTGGTGCTGGGAATGCAGAGAATGCAGGACTGGGAAGGATGTTTCTTCATTTCAGGTGTAACAAGAATGAGCTTGTTAAGAGATTAATTTCTCTACATTTTATTGACCTTTTCAGTATTTCAAATAATGGAGACGGTTGTATATATGTATCAGTAGGAAATTGTCCTTACATATGCCCCTTCTTAAAATTATGAACCACATTCCTGCTTAATATGATGCAGCTTGTCTCCCCCACTATTCTAGAGCTAAGAACTTCTAACAAGTATGTAGACAATTATGTCAGTGTTGAATCTGCTTGTATTTGCCAACATTAGAATGCCAAAAGAAGATAATGGTATTTGGCACAATCCAGCACTTTTAAGTTTCATTCTATGTTAAAGTGCAGAATACAAGACGTAAATGGATGTGAGAAATTTAAATAAAGTTTATCATAGTCCTACACAATATTTGGGTAAGCAAACTGAGTAAATATAAGCCAAGGATATTCCATCACAACAGATGGCAGCATCTAACCAATCCGATTCACCTCCTCCACAGCCATAAGCACAGTTGGATCTGAATGAGAAGAAATCCAAGGGTTGTTAACTAGACTGGGAAATTAAGTATCTTAGAAAAGGCATTGACAAACCATGTTCACATTGCTGTTAAGAAAACTCTGAATGTTTCCATATAGTTACCAGAAATCAAGTTCAATTTGAAGAAATCTTTTGACCAGCAGATAGATTTATACTCAGGATAAGAACATCAAAACGATCATGACTTGCTTCTTACCAAACTGGAGGAAGTGTTTTGTCCTGAGCATGATATTCTTCAACAGTTTTATCATTTAAATTGGGCGAAGACTTTTTTTTCCTCAGCCACCTTCTCCTCTATATGTTGGCTATGCCTACCTATGCACCACAGAGGTTTTATGGCAGCCTTACACAGTCTGGTATTCCTCCACAACTCTAACTCTCATCATTCTTAGCCAATATAACCATTGCTTATTGGGAACATAGGTAATAGTGCTTCAATAGCTCCAGAAAAGCAAGATCAGGGAAAGGCAGTTTAATGGCATCATGAAATCAACAGGTGTCATACCTTGCCCATATAGCAATTTGGCTACCAAAGGCTTTTAACCTTCCTAAATTTTCAATCCTATCGTCACCTGGGAATAAACCCTCCTGAAATTTACTTCTGAGGAGACGTTCCTGGGATTGCACTATTTGATTGTCAGAGACTTTACATACCATTCGATTTTAACATTAGGATAATTTGTTTTCAGTCACATAAAAGTACATATATAAATAGCAGTAAAGTAATATCAAGATGTTATCATTCATTAATAAAACTTAAGAATATCTGCCCTCCATAGATTTTGGTATGAGTATTAAATATTACTGTGCTTGCCACTAAGTTAGGAATCCTTTCACCATTCAAGTAGAAGAGACTTAAGATGCTCAATATGTTTCAAATGAAGCCTATAACTTTGATCCAATAACTATCTCTCAGCTTAACATGTAGGGTTGTTGGGGCAATAAAATTGGATAAGTGTCCTGGCTTTTCTATATAAGAGTCCCTTCTTCGTGAGATGGGCGGTATCTAAATTTGAAATATATAAATAAAATATAAGTAAACTCTACATGAAAATAGTAAACATCCATTAGTAAGAAGCCAGATATCAGGAGGAGACGCTCAGTCTATTCATCAGGATGTATACATTAGCGTTCTTAGATTTTCCTCACTTTTTCTTCTACATTTTAACATCTCCATGACAAGCAAAGTTCAATAGATACAGTTGCTCCAGCAGAAACCTGCAATCACAGAGAAAGCCTGGCTACTTGATTTTCTGGCCATTGTACATGTAAAGTTATAGGGACCTCATCGGGGATTGGGGCAAGAGGTGTCAGTTGTACTTGCGATGATACACTTCAATGTACTGGTTTATTAAGATACCCCAAATTTCAAACTCTGGCACATACGATGAGCATAAATAAAACTGAGACATGGTGTTTTTTTTAAATGATTGAAACGTATTTTTTTAAAAATACATTTTTTTGTAGGCAGTGATATATTATTAGTATTAGAAAAACAACTGATCTTTTCTAGTATTTCTGGCAGTTAATACACGCTTAAACGTAATTCAAGTTTTTAAAGAGGCCATCGATCCCACCTTCCACCCATAATCATCCCACCCTTCCAGTAATAACCTTTTCCTTCCCAGCTGAGCACCAAAAAGGACACGTGACCCAACGTCGCCAATCCTCCTCTCTTAACCGCGCCTCCTTTTTCGAACTCCTGGAGGAGTCAGCCTTCCGTAGTCGTAGAAACGCATTTAGAATAGAACGCTGCGCGGCCAATGGAAAGAGGCGGAAACTAAAGAGCAGCCAATGAGCGCAGCCTAGTGCGAGTTTTAAACTTGCAGCGGCAGGCAAAGGGGGTATCGGACTGGTGCGTGCGTAGCAGTAATCGGCTGTCTCTTGGTCCTGGGCGAGAAAGGGAGCGATTTGGAGCAGGCCGGTCGTGAGGATCTAGGAATCCAGCCTAGGCCATGGCTTTGCGGGTCACCCGGGTATGGAGGAATTTCACTGGGGTATCTTTAGGATGATGCTGCACGTTACCTTTTGCAGGGGCCTGGCAGCCATTTATGCTGAAATTCTACCTAACTTACAGGAGAGGAAACGTTTTGAGCATCGCGGGGTTTACTTCTGAATAAACGTGCACGAAGATCTGTTGTGCTTGCTTTGTCTATGATGAAGGGTGACAGTGGTGGAGTAGCATTGCCCGTGTCTCTTTTAGAGATCGTTCTGCTTCTCCTTTTCTTAAACCTGTACATGAACGGTGAAATCCAGATAGCCTGGTGCGAGTGGAAACAGCGTCATCGTGCCTTGTTGAGAGTATTTAGCAGAACCCTGTTCCTAAAGCTTAATTGAGAAGTTTTTTTCCCTGGAGCTGCTTGGGAGTATGCAGTTTTCCTTCCCAGCTCATCACAGTGCCATGTAAATGCTTCTGAATGTGCTCTGTGTCACTTAATTTTTTTTTTTTTGTAGAACACAAAGGTCAATGCTGAGAACAAAACCAAACCTACAATGGCCCTCAGTAAGCGGGGAGTTGCTGCTGCCAAGCCTGCTTTGAGGCCTAGGACTGCCTTGGGAGACATTGGCAACAAAGCTTGTGAGCCAAAGTCTAAAGACTTAGTGAAAAAGGTAATCCTTTCTTTGCCTGTTCTTCATCCAACAGGAGGAGTTAGGAATAAGCAGGACTATGATATTCCTATCTTTTTTTCTTTCCCCTACTACTTCCCTCTCTTAGGAAATGTTGAAACCTACAGCTGTGGACAAAGTGACTACTCGGAAAATCACAAAACCTACTGAAAAACTAAATGAATCTGTGAAAGAAGAAAAGCCAATTCCAGAACCTGTTAAGGTATTAAATAGCTTGTAAACAATAAATATTTAAGGATCATGGGTATTTAGAAGCAAAGACTTTTATTTATGTTTGTAAACCTGTATTTTTCACTCTTAGCCTGGGACCATGAGGTTTAGAATTTTTATTTACCTTTGATAGTTGCATTTTCAAACTTGATCTGAGGCCTAATATACAGTGGTACCTCGGTTCACGAACTTAATTCGGTCCGCGACTCTGGTCGCGAACCGAACTGGTCACGAACTGAATCGAATTTTCCCATAAGGTTCAATGTAAATATGGTTAATGCGTTCTGAACCATATGTATTTTTTTTTAACCACAAAAATATGACACAAAGTACAGT